AAGTGTAAAGAGCTAAGCTTCCTGGCTAACTTCATGAATCTAGCAAACATGCTTTTCAGTGTGAACCATTCAAGTCTGCTCCTTAATGGTATCACGAATCTTTACATGTCACGCCTCTTGCAGGTCATGCAATAGGGATGCTTTTCACATTGTTTAAGCATAAAAAGGGATTTTTCCTGGGGAACAAAAAAGAAGAATGCAGGGAAGGGGGATGGATAATTTTAGGCAGGGCTTGTGCACAGGGTCCAGACATTACCTACAATGACCTTGAGCTCATTCTCTCCTGCTCTTGGTTCTGTTTTTTTATGTTTATTTCATTTGAGGGTGAAGGTAACTGCCGGAAGGTCCTAGCTTCTTTTGATTAGTGTTGGGTCTACTGGAAAAACCACATCTCTCTTCTAATAGTCTTAGGAAAAGTTCTGAGATTTATTCTCATTGGTTCTGACTAAACTGAATTGGGCCACATGTCCATTCTTGAAAGGGTCACTGTGGTTAAGGGAAAAGGTTGTTCTGATTTGATCTGCTTGTGTCAATTTTACTTGAACCACATAAGCAGTGATTCATAGGGCAATGGTTTCCCCCACCAGAAAAAAAGAAGAAGAAGAAGAAAAAATAAGATTAAGGTGCCATTATTATTAGCAGATAGGATAGGGGATGCTGGTCAGCCAAAACTATACCAGGTTATCAAGGCATATTTACTATGAAGCCAATGGTTCTTAAGATACAGATCTTCTAACCAGGTTATGCTTCTTCCTAAAACACTACATGTAATTTTATATTTCTATTTTTATATTATTTTCACGCTCCCTCAAATAGCATAGGCTTCAAAAATTCTCAAAACCGGATCTTATCCTGCCAAGACTAAATCCATCAGAGTTCTATATCATTAGGGCTACTTCTCTTGGAGAGCAGGACAGAATTAGTCCCCAGTGAGGCCCCCGCACCAACCGTTACCAGCAAGAGTTCAACAATAACAATAGCACTGAAATTTCTGGTTATAAAAAACCAGTGAATTACCAAGATTCCAGTGAACTTAAGAAAAGTTCCCACTTTTATAATAAAAAACAAATGAAACTAGTAAGTAGAATCATTTTTTCCAAATTGTTTTCATTGAAGTTGTTTCTTCCTGGAATATGATTTTAAGCCCTATGTAACTCTTCACAGCTAATTTAGTTGCTCCCAGGCATCTAGTAATTTAATTATTTGTGGTGTTAACTTTTGTGTCTTACCCTTCCATAACAGGGCTCACGTGTTAGTCATGTTTGTTTTCACAATCCTTGCAATGCCCAGCATGGTTAAGTACCAGGCGAAGATTACTGAAAATATGGGTGGATGAATAAAACTCTATCTCACAACAGTCCTGTGAGTTTATTAAGCATCACAGTCATCTCACAAAAAAAACAATAAAAAAAAAAAGACAAGAAACAAAAAAAAAAAAAAAAAAAAAAAAAAAAAAAAAAGAGGAAACCAAGGAACAATTCAGCTAAATGATGGCAGCGCAGAGGCCGGAAGTATATTTTTTCTACTTCCTAGAACATTTCACTTCCCTTATTTCATCTTGTCTTTGAAGAAATATTCTGTGGCTCAGCAATGATTTCAAGTACTTTTGTGGTCTGTGGTTTCTCTAGCAGTCAGAATATAGTAGGGACAACAGAAATCAGGAGAAGAAAGAAAGAAAGGAAGGGGTCAAGAGAAGTTCTGTTTTTGATTTTTTAAAAAATTAAAACAGGAGATAACTAGCACCCTGAGGACTACAGAGAATGATTTGGAGCAGAGGGAGATATTAAGGAGGTAGAAGAGAAAGTAATCTGAGGAAAGGTGGAAAGAATGTGTATGAATATTGTATGTAGGTAGATGTGGCAGCAGGGGTGTATGAAATTCTTTTCTCTCTGCTTTAATTTTTTGCAGTGAAATCAACATCAAGGTCATCAGTTAAGGGAGAGAGTAGAAGAGGTGGAATGGTAAGTTTGAGAAGAAAAGGTGTAAAATTGTCATCTAAGAGCTTGAGAGGGTTCTCAGATGACAAAAAAAAAAAGAATGAATGTACTGAAGAAATACAAAATGATTGCTAGGTAGCACTAAATATTCTTTAAATGTTGGAGGCCATAAATATAAAGTGAATCACATCACCATGGGACGAGTTTTCCTCCAGGTTCATTCACTGCTGGTACAGAACTGGTGGAGGGTTGAACGTAACCAGGACTGTGACTTTATCAAAGGAAGCGAGAGGGGAGCAAGAGTAAAGGGTATATGCAAAAGTCAAACTGCATTCAGTTACACAGGAGTTCAGTGAGTTGGGGTGGGGGGCAGGATGGAGAAAGAATATGCAGAGTTTGATCAGGGTCAGTAAAATGCTGTGAGATCACCATTTAGACCCAATAGGAATAGAATTTTTAAATGGGATCCATATTTAAATCAGCATTTAGAAATCCTAGTAGAAGCACTGGTAGAGATGGACCAAAAGAAAGAGCACTGAAAAGCCAGGATGGAATCAGCAAGATTGGGATGCCTAGAAGTGAGTCTGTGGGGAATTTGCAGAGACTGATGATGCCTGCATGGAGGGTAGGACCATGAGCTTAAGTAGCTCAGGAGGGATTAGAAGACAAGATCATTGGAGGAAAGACCAGGGTATGCTAATCATCCCCTCATCACTGGTCTACCTGTATACTCTCACCTAGATTCTTCCAATTACAGCACTGAACTTATAGCTTACTAATCATAAATGAATATCCTCTTCTAGAAAACCTCAAGTTTGCCTCAGAGAATTTTTTACTATTTTATCATTTTATTTTACTATTATTTTAAGATTTTATTTATTTATTTGACAGACAGAGATCACAAGTAGGCAGAGAGGCAGGCAGGGAGAGGAGGAAGCAGGCTCTCCATGGAGCAGAAAGCCCGATGTGGAACTCGATCCCAGGACCCTGGAATCATGACCTGAGCCGAAGGCAGAGGCTTTAATCCACTGAGCCACCCAGGCACCCCACTATTTTATCATTTTAAACAAATAACAGAAATGACACAGATAAGACTCATTTCAACATTTATTTGCTGTTTTCTTTCTTTTATTATAGTCCTATCTAAATCACAGACTCAAATCTATAATTCCATATAAATAATTAACAAAAATGCAAAGTAATATTATACCTCCAATAAATCCATTAAGTTATTATATTGTGTTCAAGTCTAGTTTATATTTCACTTCTAAATGTTATATTTAAAACAGCAGAATAGGGGCGCCTGGGTGGCTCAGTGGGTTAAAGCCTCTGCCTTCGGCTCAGGTCGTGATCCCAGGGTCCTGGGATCGAGCCCCGCATCGGGCTCTCTGCTCAGTGGGGAGCCTGCTTCCTCCTCTCTCTCTCTCTCTCTCTCTGCCTGCCTCTCCGCCTACTTGTGATCTCTCTCTCTCTGTGTCAAATTAAAAAAAAAAATCTAAAAAAAAATAAAACAGCAGAATATTAAATGGAAATATTAACTGAAAATGTGAAAAAATGATCAAGCAGTGGACAGAATAAGAAACTGGAGGAAAAAAATCAAAAATGGATTATTTAAATAGAGATACTCAGTGATATATGAATTTCAAAGAAACAATGTTCCTTGTGAAATTCCCATAAAAATTATAATTCAAACTGTACTAAATGCATTTTGTCTTACGTACTTGAGCTCTAGTATTTCATAGGTATCTTGATACATAATTGAAAACATTCATGAATACAGAAATGTCTGAAGTATATGAATCTTCATGCCATACTAAGATTTAAAAATATCTAGTCACAATACATATATCCATCATCATTCTGATTATGAGACTATCTGGAGCTATGGGAAAGCCAAAGCTTCCTGCAACTACTGAAAAATCTGCAAATACCATCCTGATTGCTATGTCTTGCCATCACCTTTTCTACCTTTACTCAGTACTGGCCCACTGTAATCTTCACACGAACTTCTGATGCCTGATGATGCCACTGATAATTCCACAAGGACCCCTTGAAATGTGTTATCAATGTGGTCATTATCTACTGGAGGATATTGTGTTAATGGCTGCAGCCTGCCAAAGTGTTCAAGTTCACCAAAGTGGAGAAGCTCTTTAGCACCCAAATTTGTGATATGGTTATTTTCATGAGCTTCAGGACAATTCTTTGAATCTTTGGAGTACAATAGCAACTTTTTTTATATTAAATATTTCTTTTTTTTTTTCCTTCAGAATTTACCAGGGCTGACCAGAAACTTATTGGAATAACAGATATACCACTACTTCTATGAATTCTTACATTTAGATAAAATATTCTTAAACTCTTTTTCCCCTAGAAGCACGTATTTTGCTAAGAGCTTTCTTAGTTGCTCATAAATATGGATCTATATAACACAATTACACCAAAGGTTTTCCATATATGCCTATGTTTACCTGGGCCCTAGGAAAAAAATACCTTGGACTAACACAGAAAAGTGTGTTTTATATACTTAAAAGTCTGACAGATTGTGTCTGGGTATAAATATGGGTTTTTTTTTCTTAAATATTTATATATAATGAAATATTTCCATAATTAGATTTTTTTCCTAAATATACTTTTGGAGCCATCATGTAAGAGTTTTCTAAATAGTATAGAATTGAAAAAAGGGTTAGATTGGCCATGGAATATTTGCATTGACATCTGATCCTTAACATTTTTTAAATCTCCAAATATATTCAAGGGCTGTCTTATTAACAATGGAAAGTTTTCCAGAACTTCTCTTATATTGAACTTGACTAAGGGCAAGAATGACTTAAAGATCTCAACCTCTAAAAGCACTGCCATTCTTTATAAAATTCTTCACAGAACAACAAAGAGATTACCCTGAGCAAAGTAGCCAAATATTTAAGAATCTCTGAAGTATGAGATGTATACAGTCCATTTATGCTTAAGAAAAAACAGTATAGCACAGTAACGCTTAATAAAAAGACTTACAGAGAGATTGCAAAAATTCTGAGGTTTGACCTACCCATCAGTCAGGTCACTTACCAGATATCTCCTCTAGGCACTGCTTAGCAGTTTTATTATATGATAAATCCATCTTAGTAGGACTGGTACAGGAGTCAGCAGATGGTAAAGAGGTACCTTCATTTTCTGAATGCGATCTGAAATTAACCAAAAAGACAGAAACATATAGCAATTGTTGTCACCAATGACTCAAAGTTCCCTAGTACAAGCAGAAATCAACATGTTAAAAGTTTTCTATCAAGGTAAGTAAGCATTTCCTAATGATGGAGACATTCCAAAACTATCTATTAGAGATAGTCTTTATTACGCTTTTCATATACAACTCACGTAGGAGTGAAATATTAAATCATATTTCTTAGACTCTCCTAAACTTGAAAGCTTGTAATTACCAATAGTTGTATTTTGGAGAAGTAAAAGATGAAAAGATCCAACTTTTTTTCTGCTGTTTTAGAAAAAAAGTCTGGCTAAGTTGTGTTCTTGTCAGAATAACCAGTAAAAGTACTGACAGCACCCCTAAAATTATTTTTTCCATGAAAATTCTAGAAAATATATCCTAAAATTGGAAGTATAAGTAAAAACAAATTTCAGAAAAGTTAGTCAATGAAAACCAAATTCTCATTAAAATTTCATCTACTGTATATTTTATGTTTATGTGTGTGTGTATGCATTGGTATGTATTTGTGTGTGTGAGTAACATGTAGAGAGTAGGTCTAACCAAATGAAAAGCACGCAACAGACAGACTGTAAATATTCTGACATTCCAATCTTACTTCTTACATTGCTTCTTCCTTTTATGCACAGGCGAATGTTTTAAGAAGCATGACCTTTCCTGATGCAGCTTCAAAATCCACATATATTTGATCCAAATCACCACATTTTAAAAAATCTACCTCGTGAACTACTAAGACACAGATGGAGGCAAGGACATATAGTATTGTATGCTAGACTGTGTCCTTTGGAGACTTCTCATTTGCTGGGCATCCCATTTGTACGACCAGTTTTGGACCATGGCAAGAGGACACTAAATAGTTCTCACTTTTTAAAAACATCTATAGAGAATATTCATATGTGAAAGGAAAATGCAGTATGTTTTTTTCTGAATCAATTTTTAATTAATATGTTATTTTTATTCTAAATCCTGGTGTTGTTTGAAAGGAAATAAAACATAATCAACAAAAATACTTTGAATTGATCTGACAGATATAAAAACTCTGAGCTCATTAGGATTTTAAGAAATCGTGGAAAACTTTATGCTGTATGTATGGGTGTATGTGTATATACAGAGATTGATATAGAAAAGAAAGAGCTATGTAAGAATTCATACAAATGGTTTCTGTTGATTTCTGGCAGACTATCCTTATTTTATTCTAACTTAAAACTGAATATAAAAAGCATGGCAAAATTAAGAAAGAGAATATAGTATCCAAGCGACAGGATGTACCATAAAGGCCAGTAAAGACCTCAATGTTGCTAAAATCAACACATCTTAGTCTTCACCTTCCTTGATGTTTTGGCAGCATTTAGAACAGAACACCATTAATCTTTTCATGAAATCGCCCTACCCTGGCTTCTATTACAAAAATCTTCCCGTTTGTACCCCATTCTCTATGGATGCTACTTTTCTCCTCTTTTGTTCTCTTTTACCCGATTTTTAAATGTTTTTATGCTCACCATTGTATCCCAATGCCTTGCCCTAGTCTCACAATATGCTGCACTCAGGAAATAGTTGATAAATAAAAAATCTTACTAGTAGTGATGATAAAATGGCATTACTGGAGTATAGCAACGTGGAAGGAAGCATGGTATAAGGGTGCATGCACTGGGTTTCAGTGTAAAACTTGGCTCTCTAACTACCTACTTACTAACTCATGTGACCTTGTTAAGGTACTTACCCTACTTGAATCTCAATTTGCTCACGTATGAAAGCAAAGAAAAATATGCTCCTTGCAAAATAATTGTGAACTCAAGCGTTATTATTACTTAAGGTTTGGAAAGGCATTCTCTTGAGGCATGTAGGATTCTTGTCAACATTAAAATGTGGGGAATATATCTGGCTCTCTGTATAGCCCATTTCTTTTCTTCTCAGGCTCCCAGGTTCTCCTATAGCCCTGTCCATTGATACCCCTTGGTATTTACTGCTGAAGCCCACTATAGTTGGCTCCTCTACTTAGGCTCATTTCTTACCAGCCACTGTCCTTCCCTGACCTGATCCTTAGCCAGCTGGCTATGAATGAAGGGATAAAATCCTCTGAAGTTTTCTAAGGACTTTTGTTACTCACTGAAGAAGTTTAAACGGAGAGTATATAGTGAGATGGGAGACCCCAGGGAAAGCTGACTGGCTGCTTGCCAGGAAGGCAGGGTGCCTTGGTAAACTGGCTGTGAGCCAGGATTGGCCTCTAGTCCTGCAGACTCAGTATTCACAGACTGATCTCAGAAGCTGAGTCACATTAAGTAGTTCACTGTGATGGCTGTCTAAAGCCCAGTGCCAATTGGTTCTTATTAGAACAAGATCAGCAGCTGTTATAGGAGCCTGAATGCCTGTGGTCATGTTAGTTACAAAGATTCACAGTATCTCCCTCTGGAAAAATCTGCATGGAGCAAAAGCATATTCAGAACGTGTTTTGAGAGTACAAATTTTGCTTTGCTCTGAACAAACAGATCTTAAAAGTACTGCTCAGGAGCTGACTGTGGCTATCTTCCTCAGTATGAGAGACCCGGTACTCTCTACCATCAGCTGTCTCCACACCCCCGTCTGAGTCTCTCTCTCTACCTCTTTTCTTTCTTTCTTTTTTTTTTTTTTAAGATTTTTCTTTATTTATTTGACAGACAGAGATCACAAGTAGGCAGAGAGTCAGGCAGAGAGAGGGAAGCAGTCTTCCCACTGTGCAGAGAGCCCGATGCGGAACTCGATCCCAGGACCCTGAGATCATGACCTGAGCCGAAGGCAGAGCCTTAACCCACTGAGCCACCCAGGCACCCCTGAGTCTCTTTTATAAAAAGTATGCATGCTTCTGACAGCTCAGTCTTGTCTCAGGAACCTTTGTTTTATTTTATTATATGAATCTGTCAGTGTGTGTTTCTGGCTGATTCCCTCTTTATTATCCCTTTTTACTTTAAGTCACAAGAGGCAATCTTATTTACCTTATTTTCAAGTTCTTTGGTGTATTTTCCATGGTATTCCCTACATCAGCAATGCTATCATTGGAAAAAGGTTGATCAAGGAAAGGAACATAGAAAGGTTAAATTTTAAATAATTATAAAAAGGACTTGGAAGTCATCTCTGGTTTGTATGGACATGTAAATGGGTCCAGATCTCTGTTTTACATATGTTATGAGCCATTCATTTCTCTGGGATTTCCACTCAGTATTTGTTAGAGTGAAATCAGATTTTAACTCCAGTCTCCAGAGGGGCAATCACTGCTAACTGGTAAAGATTTAACTTTTATACAAATGATCAAAGAAGTTCAGTTAAATCTCTGAAGACTCCCACCATGTCCTCTCTTTTTGTGCATGTTTCATTCTAATAAAATAAAGGGATTTGGGGTTGCTTCATGAAACAATTTCTGAAGAGTTCAGGATCAATAGTGCTCTTCAATCAAAGGGTACATCTTGACAGATATAATAGATATTAAATTGGCATCATCCACTGTTCCCACATAAACTGATACTGCACTTTTCCTCATATTGATTGGAAAAAGAAAAAGTAAGTGTCATGATGTTCCTTTAAAATATTTAGAAGATATGTCCTGTGCAGACTAATAACTATGCATTTACAACATGGTCAATATGTTACAAATACCCATTGAAACTGTAAAATACAGCACTGCAAAAAAACACCATTTAATTCATTTAGAGTGCTAATAAGCCAGGCTCTCAGTGTTAGTATCTGTTACTAAGGGGATAGTGGTAAAAAATCTAGACTTCACTGATGATTGACATAAAAGCTCTTTCCTGTCTATGTGTACTTACTATGTGTCAAATACTAGGCCTGGTATTCCTGTTGTTATGGAATGAATGTCTGTTTCTTCCCCCAAATTCTTATGTTGAAAACTAATCTCCAATATGATAGTATTAGGGGATGGAGACTTTGGGGGCTAATTAGGTCTTGAGGGTAGAGCACTGATGTCTGGGATTAGTGCTGTTGTAGAAGAGACCTCAGGGAACTCCACTGTCCCTTCTGCCACATGAGCGCAGAGTGAGAAGATGGTCATCTATGAACCAGGAAGCAAGCTCTCACCAGACATGGAATGTGCCAGCACATTCCATGGCACAGAGGGGGCACGTTTGTGCTGGGGTGGGAGGGGCTTGCAGAATCATGATAAATAAATATTTGCTGTTTAAGCCACTCTGTCTATGATATTTTTGTGATAGCAGTTTGAACAGATCAAGACACTTATAATTAGGTGCTATAGATAAATTTAGGCTTCTAGAGATTGATAATCTGTCTGTGGAACAAGCTGGTTGACAATCATTCTGTATTTGAAACTGGCTGCCTCTAAATACTTTTTTTTTAACTGCTACCCTCCAGTTTAATACCATCCAAATGCCCCTGGACACTATTTTAGTACGTTTAAGTTCTCCTTTGCTGACACATACCTCACTAAGTTAATAACACACAATATTTGAATGTGACAATATCTATTGGTCTACCTGAAATATTATTCTCTGTTCTTTACTACCTTAAATTTTTTCTTGAGAAAAAGAAGATATTATACACACCGCTTAAAGGAATTCAACAATAAGTCCTAGATACCATCAACTGGCAAATTTCAAATTTCATAAATATGGGTGTTTGCTTATTGATTTATATCAATCAAGATATATCTTCCTGTGCATTCATCTTAACATGGATCTAGTCACAAATATGAACACAAATAGAACTGATCTGAGGTAGCAATATTAATTAATGTTCTTACAGTTCTTGATTTATAAATCCAACAAAGGCAAAGAAAAGTATCTTTCCAAAACCACCAGTGGTTTTGCTTTCTTCTTTCCTTCTCAGTGGGAAGGTGGACAGGTGACAGCCAGGGCCAAGGACAGAAATCTATCAGGGTGAAAAGCAGTTCAGGGTGGAAGGGAGATATGTGAGATTCAGGTGGGTTGAGCAAATAAGAAAACATAGTGAGGGGGTGCCTGT